ACATTTGTATTATTGAATTATTAAAAAGTATTAATTTTAAGATATGCTTTGTGATAGAAAATAAATATTTAAATTTAAAATATTTTAAGAGACACATAAGTCAATGTACCTATAATAAGTCAATTTTCAAAGCAAATAAGTCTGTCGACTTAAGTATATTTTCCAATAAATAACAAACATTTATATTTGGTAACTTAAGGGGAACTATGTATGTATTGATTCAATAATTAAAATTCTGAATTGATACCAAATATACTCATCAATAGTCAAAATATTTTGAATATTTTTTCCTTAAGTATTAAAGACCTACTGACCTTTCACTGAACTAATTAAGTCATTTCCCTTTGTTTGATTGTAAAGCAGGTGCTTTTTAAAATTTCCACAAACAAAATCCAAGCCCCATCTACTGCTATTGAGCTGCTGGTGACATACATGGCCTAGACAGGCTTTCTGAGACTGTGAATCGTCACAGGAGCAGACAGCCCCATCTTTCTCCCATGATGAACAAATAAGCGATTATGAAATTCAATTAAAAATTAGACTTTTGATCATCATGCATTTGATAGCATCACAAACCACGACTAGACGACTGTGTAAACCAAGTTGCACTTGCAAAACAATGAACAAAATCAATTTGCTTTATTATGGTGGTAGTGATGATGATGATGATTCTAAATCCTGTTTCCTCTTTGTTGGGAGAAAAAAAAATGTGGAAAACAGAACAAATTAAAACAAAGGAAAAGTGATGTATCTAAAGCACATATGCCACACACAAAAAAATTCTCACTGGTAAGAAATGCATTGCAATTGAAATGTAATCAGACAGAAGGAGAAGGGCTACTTCACAGGTTGGTTTAAAAGGACAAGCACTTTCTGGTGGCAAGTGAGATATGCACACAACTTTTAACACAAAAAGAATACTTCCTGAAAGCAAGACGTTTACTGACTGAGCCAAACAGAATCCAAGCATAATTTCAATTGCTGTAAATTGATGAATGTCTGTCCCTTGTATCTCGCCATGAAAACCTTCTGAGAAGCCACCGTGCCGGCACACCTGTCACCCTTCTGAGCTGGCCACTGCGCAGCTTCCCAGAGCTAGAAAAGTCAGAATGAGACGCAAAGGCCAACTGTCCACGGCAGACAGTATTTACTAGGAGGTGTCCCAGAAGGACAGTACTCAGATTTTCCAGGAAAGGCTTAAGGAGCAGTCGGGAGGGGGTGGGTGGGATATAGTTTGCATAGGTGGAATGAGTGAGGCAGGCTGGAAGTGGCAGGGTCCTGAGGGAAGAGGAGAAAAGCAGGGTCCAGCAATGTGAATGCAGAGTGAGAAGGCGTTGTGTTTGGGACCTATACTTTCTTGACAGGTAGCCAGGGCAGCCTACGTGTTGGAATTGGTGTTGGTAAATAGTAACAGAGCATGCCCAGTTTAAAATGATGTAGAAAAATCACGGAGCAGACTGGCCAGTCAGGGTTTGCCAGTGGTGAGCAGGGCTCTCTGATGGATAAAAGTGGGTATGGAATATAGATCTGGAAACGCGGACCAGAGCAGAGCAGAGGCGATCCGTCACAAGGACACCAGTCAGGAGGCTGGACAACACGCGGTGAGGGGCTGGGCCCACGTCGTCAAAGGGCGAGAGATGGAGAGCGAGAGATCAATGGCAGCACTGTTCAAAGGAACTGTCCATGAACATCAGCGAGTTGAGAAGATTGGGTGAGCCCAGGGCTTTGATGCCAAAGGACTGTGAGAATGATGATATCATGTTCAGAAACAGATTCAGGAAGGGACTGAGCTGAGAAACAAAATCAATGCTACTGGCTCTGAGTCCTTGGAAGGTGGAACAGGAGCCTAGGGGAGAGGCTAGGGGAGTGTGGATGAGGACCAGTGACACAATGGCACAGCAGATAGGACGGGAGCTCTTCAGGAAAAACGACAGGAAGCCCTAACCTCAGAATGCTGAGAATGAGCTGAGGGGAGACCGCCAACACTCGCTTAGCACCAGAAAGGAGGAGTGAAGGGCGAAGGAAGGAGCTAGCGGACAACAGCTTAGGAAAATAGAAAAACAAGAATGGCATTAACGGAAGTTGTGTGCGAACAGGCCCCTTCCAGCACCAGACCCTGTGTGTTCAACCCCTGCCAGGAGCACTTACTAGTGAGGAACAGATCGTTTTTCTCTCGGTCTTGGTTCCACTACCTGTAAGATGATCAGAGCATAATCCAGAGAAATGAGAGAGCCTGTGTAGGATGCTTAGTATTGTACCTGGCACATACACAAAATTAACAGATGCAACTGACGGCATTTAAGGGGACAGTAGGCTGGCGGCAGCTGGGAAGATTGCAGAGGATTAAATAAGGGATGAACATTGAGGAAAGACAACGGACAAAGAGATTGACTATAGAATCTGTGCTCAGAAATGAAGAGAAGCCATAAAGCCATGGTTAAGTTAAACAGTTGGATGAAGGAAAGGTTTTGCTTACATTTCTGCCATACTGATCAATGGTTATTATGGTTCCAGTTGACATAGAAGGATCTTTAATTAGTGCTGGGTCATCTTTGTATTCCCATGAGGCCACCGGGGCCTCCTTTAATTGCATAGCAACTAAAAGATCTCCTCAAAACACATGCAGATGAAATGAGCAAGATGAGCCACGATCTCTCTCCAAGATAAATTGGACTGACAGTCATTGGCAGCAAGCCGCTGGCCAGGGGACCTTTCAAAGTTAGGAGCTCGTTCAGCCGCCCAAAGTAACATACAGAATGTAAATGTCAGCCAATGAGTAGTGACGAGCTCCCTGGGAGACTCGGACACCGTCCTGCTTGCGACATAGAGCATTACTGAGTGTGGAGGCCCCTGTAGCACCTCCCTGTTGACATCCCCCTCCTTCCCCAACCATGGTACACCCATCTGAATTTGTTTGTTCTTCAGCATATGCATGTAAACCTAAAAATACGCAGTTTTGTGTGTGTGTGTGTGTGTGTTTACCCCAAACCAAAACCAAATTCACTTGTCCTCGAGTTGATGGCAGCTCACAGTGATCCTATAGGACAGGGTAGAACTGGCCCCGTGGGTTTCTGGGACTGTAACTGTTTACAGGTGTAGACAGCCATATCTTTCTCCCACAGAGCTGCTGGTGGATTTGAACTGCTGACCTTGCAGTTAGCAATGGAACGCATTACCCACTGCACCGTGTGGGTTCTTTTCATTTCACACAGCACTCTGCGATTCATTTATGTTGCTGCCTATAGTGTACTCATGGAGAATCATGCTTTATGTTTCTCAGTAAGGATTATGCTTGCTTCTCAATCAATTGAACTTTCGCCATTATGCAATTTCCTCATTATTCCTAATGATGCACTTGCCATGAAGTTTCTCTTCTCTCACTATCATAAGCACATCAACACTTGCTGACCTTGTTTATTTATCTTTATATCCTTGGCCTTTCCGTCTTTCTATGTCCTTCTAGGGGTTTTTTGTTTTGTAATGCTTTCAGATGTGCTGCTAGCTAGATTTTTTTAAAATCTAGTCAGATAATGTGTCTATTTTAACAAAAACATTTAGACGCTATTTTTTTCTTGTGATTGCTCGTGTCTGATGACACCGGTCATGAGGGTGAGCCTAAAAGCCTAGCCTCCAGGGTGCCGGTCCATGTGCAAACCCACTGCTGTAGACTCGATTGCAGCTCGCAGCAGCCTCGTGGGACGGAGTAGAGCCAGGCCACAGGGTGTCAGAGACTACACGCCTTTACAGAACCAGATCGCCTTTACAGAGCCAGATCCCATGTGTTTCCTCATGGGGAGCTTAAACCGCTCACTGCTCTTCGCTGCCCAACACCGAACCCACTGAACATGGATTGATTTCAAACAAGGTCGTGTTTGCACCTGTCTCCGCATTAGTAGATGCCTGCGGACAAGTTCTCTCAGGAAGACATTGTTGAGTCATCTTACGGGCCTTAAAACAAAAAGGTTCAACCCAAACAGTGGCTTCTTGGATGATTTGGTGGGCCAGTTAAATTTAAGGCAGACACAGGTTATAAAACCAGAAAAGCAAGCTCCTGCTATCGAGTCGATGTTGGTGCATGGCTGCCCTGCAGGACAGGGTAGAACTGCCCATGTGAGTTTCCAAGACTGTAACTCTTTACAGGGTAGAAAGCCTCCTCTTTTCCACTGAGTGGCTGGTGGTTTTGAACTGCTCACCTTGAGGTTGCCAATCCAACTTGTAACCACTATGCCATCAGGGCTCCTTGATAAAGATACAGTGACTGTTTTATCTATATCTATCTAGTTATCTAGCTACTTATTCCAAAGGGGTACTCCTGAGAGCATTTTTCCCCCCTAAAAAGCTCACGATGACCGCAGGGGCTTGTTAGGAAAAGGTTTTAAGAACATGGTGAAGTGCCTTGGTGAGAAAATGTCCAGGCAAGTTCTGTCCAGGCATCATCTTCCCTCACAGCACCGCTCATCCTCTGAGGGTCCCTGAGAATCTCGTTGAGAAATCTCACCCCACCCACCCTACCCCCCTGATCCTGCCCCAACCCCAGACTTCTTTTTGTTCCTCAAACTCAAAAACATTTGAAAGGAGCACAATTTGAGTTTCTCGAGGATGACTAAGCCGCCCTTTTGATGTGGTATAGATTGAAAGTGAAGAATTCTTCAAGGGTGTTTGAGGAACTGTATGATGTTTGGATTGTGTCCCAATAAAATTGCGTTTAAAAAAATGCAGAGAAAAGTTGAAGCGGTAGAAACAGCTCCTTCAGAAGTACATAGACCTAGTATGAGCATATATTGGCAACAGCGTCACGTTCGGATATTTTTGTTTAATAAAGGTCGTTGTGATTTTGTAGCAATACTACTTCCCTATGCTGGTATATATTTATGCTGAAAAAGCTCTGGGAGGATACATCCAATATTAGGGGGTAATATCATTAGAGGGCATTTTTACTTCTTTCTCTTCAAAGATTCCCACTTATGCATTTTTTTTTCTGCCAATAGGTCAACTAATCAATGCCTCAGACCGACAAGCAAATATGCATCCCCCCGGAGCTGCCCGAGTTGCTGAAGCAGTTCACCAAAGCCGCCATCAGGTCCCAACCTCAAGATCTCATCCAATGGGCTGCTGAGTATGTTGTATGCCTTTCCTCCTCCTCCCCCTCCTGCCCCCACACTTTGGGAAGGGAAGGCCATGGAAAACTTGGAGGAGGTTGTCGTGACTGCACTCAGGAATGGGGGCTGATGAACATCACGTGTGATTTCCCCGTCCTAGAAGTACTTGGGAAATTGCAGATCCATTCATGAAGCCGTGGCAATGGGCACGGAAGAGATGAGTGAGGAAGCTAGGGCACTGGGCAAAGTGTCCTGGGGAAACAGCAAGAACTAGACCATCACACTTCCCTGGTGCATGCACACTCCAATCACCCAGTGCACACCCCTGCAGCTTAACTTCCAGGTCTGTGATTTAGCCCTTACGTGACCCATGGGACATTTGGTGCCCACCAACATTCTCAGCATCTCCGGTTTCTTGGGAAGCTGTGAGCCCAGTGCTGGTGGAACCCATAGAACTGTGTGAATAGGAAGAAGTAGCATCCACTGGGGACATGTGTGTTCCACACAACTGTATCAAAATCTTTATTTCCTTGCATGGCTTCCCTCTCTGAATTTGGTAGGCCTCTATTAGTGAAAACACGTGATTTCAACAGTAAATTCAAGCAGAAAATACTTGGGTCAAGAGAGGACACGAGGGACCGCATTCTCTGGATGCACCAGCAGATGGCAGCAGGACCCTGGCCGGCCCGGCGGGGAGGCCCTGTGAGGAACCTGCTGAGTGGCCTGTGCAGGGCGAGTCCACCCTGGTCCCAGCTGCATGGATTCTTTGAAGGAGACACCTTCCTACCGTGCTGTTCAAACTCACACTCACAACCAAAGGCACTTTTTCTCTTGTCTGTGGGGGAAATCATTGCTGTTTTCTTCGGTGTTCCTTTGCAACGATTAGCTCTCCACATAAAGATGTCTGTTGGCTGCACACCCATTCTGGGGAAGAGAGGTAAAGTAGAGTGAGAAGGTCGGCCGGAGCATGGCTGGGCTAAACAGGGCCCCTCTTCCAGGGGAGACCTCCAGAGGCCACTCAGTCAATGGAGCTTACACAGCAATAGCTGTTGGCCTGGATTGAAACTGCTTTACACAGAAAACCTCTCAACTATGAAATTGCTTCTTAGACAAACTCACCTACTTGAAGCTGAGGACTTGGGGCTTGTGGCAGGAGTTCGGAGCTGACTAGATGGCCCCTGATTGTTTGGGGGCTATTTTTACTGATGGGTGACTGCCTCCTCTGGAGTGTCTGGGGGGAGAAGGGGCAGTGAGGGGGAGGGTTGAGAGAGAGTGGGGGTTCAGGAAGGGAGCATGCCTTCAGCTGGAGACCGTGAGTGGGTGTGCTGGGTGGGAAGAAGGGGTGGACATCCTGGAGAACGCACCCCGTGTAATCTAAAGGAGTCTTCAAGACTCTGAGGCTGCACTCTCTGTGCGCCCGAGATGGGGCTAGGGAGACGCTTTCCAAACAAAAAGAGAACTGGGGTGTGTCAAGAGAGACATAACTAGGGGTACTTTGCCTGGCCAGGAGCCCTGTTTGGGTTTTATTTTTACATTTGATAAGTCACCTCTAAGATTGGATTTCACTTCAGCAGACTAATTTCTTTTGGCATTATCAAACGCCTTGTTTTATACTGAACGACTTTAAACAACAGTTTCAAACTCCCATTTTATTGTGCATCGGCTGGCGTTTTATGGTAAAATGAATGGCATTTCTTGGTGGTGTCCCTGACAGTTATGAGCTGAGACATCCCACTGTAGTTGCCTGTTTGCTCCCGAATTGAATCGTGTGCTATAAATTTTTTAGACACCTGTGCAAATCAGTCGGTAGTTTAGCCACAGCTTTGGCCTAAAAGCACTCTCCATCCTGCTCAGACATGAAAAGCAATTTGTCAGATGGTTTCGTGTGTCTGACAAACCTGTAGCACTTTGGTGGGCAAAACTCTACAAAGTAGTTCCAAGACCAAATGTCTGTGTCACTCATTCCAAACAAGAAGTCCCCTACATAAGTGCTGTCAGTCAAAAACAAAAACAGATAAAAAATACCTGCTAGGCAACAGCAAGGCATGAACTTACCTGTCCTATAGTAGACATGGAGGGGGCATTCAAAAAAAAAAAGAAGCTCCGCCAGGTGGAGCTTTTGTAGTACACATTTTTCCCACCAGGGGAGCATTGAGCAACTCCCTCTGAATTAGTGCACCCAGTGGCATCACCTGGGAAGGTTCTCTGTTGTCACTGTGAATTTTTTTCATAGAGGCAGTTTCTCTGGAACCTCTTTTTTTTGTGATGGTCGATTTAAGAGAACAGCACGCAGCTGTGAAATTCTATTTTGCTGGTCAGGAAAAATGCCGCAGAAACTTGTGCTGTTGACACAGCTTACAGAGACAACTGTATGGGGAAAACTCAAATGTACAAGTGGTTTTCTGGTTTTAGAAAAGGTGAAATGTCGATTGGTATCAAACCTCATCCTGGACCTCTGTCAACTTCCCGAATGGACGGAACTGTTGACAAAATTTCATGCACTTGTGCTCGAAGACTAACGAACCATTGAAGGGATGAGGGAGTTATCTGGACTATTTTGGACTCAGTTCAGAGAATTTTAACAAGATTTGAGAATGAGAAGAGTCGCTGTGAAATCTGCGTGCTGGGTTCTGACGGACCAGCAAAAAGAGTGTCAACTGGAAACATGCTGTGCTTTGAAAGAACAGCTCCAAAGCGACCCAGCCATTTTTTAGCAAGGTCATTACTGGTGACAAGACATAGTGCTATTCTTATGACCCCCAAAGAAAACATCAATCAAGCCAGTGAAAGACGCCATCATCACCCTCCCCTCCACCCCTCAAGCTCACAAAGATCAAGAAGATGCTCATTTGTTTTCTTGATGTGAGGGAATTCGTTCCACCATCTCTGTTAATCAGGCTTTCTATTTCAAGGTTCTGAAAAGATTGCATAACAGTGTGCAACAAAAAGGCCCGATTTGTGGCAGATTTGTGGCAGACAGGGGACTGGTTTTGCCACCACGACAATGCATCTGCTCATGTAGCCATCTCAATGCACCAGTTTTTGATAAATACAGCCCACCTTTCTTCCCCATGCACCTTACTCACCTGACCTTGCTCCATTCGACTTCTTTTTATTTCTTCGAATGAAGAGGGACATGAAAGGGCAACGATTTGATGACGTAGAAGAGGTGAAGAAAAAAATGAGGGAGATGCTGTCAGCCATCCAAACAGATGCGTTTGAAAAACGTTTCCGAGAATGGAATCACAGATTTGACAAATGTATTAAGTGTACTGGAGAGTACTTTGAAGGTGATATGATTGCTTTGTAAAAAAAAATTTTAATAGTTTTGAAAAAAAATTACTTTTGGAGGGTGGGTACCCCCTCATATGCCAACACACTTGAAATGTGTGGCAAGGAATTTTCACTTGCAGATGGAGCTTTCGGAGAACCCACTGAGGACCAACCCCATTGCCCACAGCCTTTGAGTGTCTCCCGCCAGTTCCACTAACAGTCTGATGAGTGCTGCTCTCTACCCACGGGCACTTCTGTAGAGTCAGAAGCTGCATGCATCTGTCTCTGCTCTTTGCATCTTACCTAAGTCTGGTTAATAACCTGAGGCCTCACCCCATCCTGTTGTCACCCTGTATGGAACCCTCCCCAACACTCTTCTGTGTGAAAAGATTTCTCATGCCTGGCCCTAGCAGTGACCTCAAAGTACTTCTGCCCTCCCTGCCGATGACCTCCAAGGGGTGACTACTGGAAGGCATCCCTTAAGCCCATGGTTTCTTTACTTCTTTATTATGGCTTTGAAACTTGGAGACAGAAAATGGTTCGAAGCCTCCTCATTGAATGACTCAGTCCTAAGGTGGAGGTGACAAAATTCTCTGTGTTCTTTCTATACTACCTGGGTGGCATAGTGGTTACGTGTTGGGCAGCGATCTGCAAGGTCAGCACTTTGTTTGAAACCACCAGCCACTCTTCAGGAGAGACACAGGGCGTAAAGAGTTAAAGTCTGAGAATCTCACAGGGGCAGTGCCACTCTGTCTTATACAGTCGACTATGAGTTGGCATTGACTTGATGGCAGTAAGGGGGTTGTTTGTTTGTTTGTTTGTTTGTTTGTTTGTTTTTGGTCTATAGAAAGTAGTGAAAAATAAAGTAGGAGGAGCCAAGGCTTGTGACCCAGTGATGGTCACTAACAAGGCTTTCAATGCAGATCATCAGGTGCCTCTGGGGGGTTCAAACCACCAACCTCTCAGTTCTTCTTTAAGTGCTGAGCCTCCTTTAATGAAGCTAGACCCTTCCATGAAGCAGGGAATGACCCCCTGGTCAACTGCTCTGTTCACGCCCTGCCACAGGCAGGCTCTCCTTGTCTCATACCTACCCGGATACAGGACTCAGTGTTTCTTCTCCACACCACCCTCAAAGAAGTGCCACTGTGCACGGCACTGGGGAGCAAGCAGATTTCACATTTTGAGGAAAAGGTATACATCACACACCTCCTGTAAGGTTGTCTCAAATCCTTGTGTGGCTTGTCTCCTTCGTTTGCCTCCCTGGCTGTCCCCCCAGCCTTCTCTTTCTCCCCACTTGAAGCCCCCATCCGCACTCTCTCTAGCCTCCCCCTTCTCAGCTCTCCCAGAGAGCGTGCAGGGCACTCGGTTCTCTCCCAATGTCTCTTTCCAAGGTTCCGGATCCTCACTCACTACCTAATGCTGACCGTAAAAATGTAAGTGGTCATTGTACAGGTCGTCCCCAACTTAGAATGGGTTCTATTTTCTTACCGCAAATGGCCCTGTCTTTCTGAGGCATGTAGATGGCCCTCTTTCAGTTTTCATCATTACCCCCTATTATTGTCAGTATCTTTGTCTTTGGGGAGTTGGGAGCCTTACGTCTGAGAAGGAGAACACACTGCATGTGGCCCATATCACAAATGGCAAGATATACGAGGAAAAACAAAAACAAAAGCCAGTCGGTCATAAATGTGGTTCGTGGTAATTCGAATACACAGTGAATCGGGGACTATGTGTAATGAACATAAAGATTGTATCCGTGTAATTGTTTTAAAATATAGTTACTGGAACTTTTTTGCCTTAAGAGATAATAGGAAATTAAAAATAACAAATTATTTCTCTTTTCCTCTTCATATACCTACCCACACACAAGCACATATATACATAACCACACATACATACATACACATGTTTTTTAAAAAAGTTAATGGAAAAATTCCATCAACTTTTAACTCCATTTTTCCACAAATTTTTGAGGCCCTATTATATACTTCTGTATATCTATAACATCTATATCTGTACCTTTACCTATACACATAATTATATGATATATTATATAGGTAATGTTACAAATACAACATACACAGCCCTATACCTTATGATGTGTGTGTGTGAAAAACTTAGGAAATAAAAGCAACCCTACATAACATGTTCCAGAGAATTCCCAGAGTTGATTTATTCCTCATCCTTAGAGAGGAGCCAATATGCCCACCCCTTCAGCCCTCTCTAGGCCTTGGGCATAGAACATCAAGCACTTCCAGGTTTTCCCTGGTGTCAGTGGACTTCATAAACAGGGCTCCCTGGAGTCTGGGACGCACACTCAGCCCTCACTTCTCCTCTTGCAGTTACTTTGGGGCCATGTCCCGTGGAGAGATTCCCCCCATGAGAGAGCGGTCGGAGCGAGTAACTCTGTCTAACTGGGCAGAGCTAACACCTGAACTGTTAAAGATCCTGCATTCTCGGGTAAGGACCGGGCCTCGGGTTATGGGGAGCAGGGCACAGTTAAGGCCAGGCAGGTACAGATGAAAACCCGCTCTCCCCCTGCCCGCCAGCTGGTCACTAACCCATGAAAAGAAGCCTGGCCAAGGAGAAATCAGAATCACAGTGCAGCAGGCTGGGGACTCTCACACTTCTGTGAAGCTGATGGAGTGTCCAGGGGCCTGGTACAAGGCTAATCCCTTCCTTCCCGAAAAACACAAGTCCACAGTCCCTCGCTTCCTGACCACCATCACACTTTGATGCCAATCACAACTTGAGAAAGAGCCTAGTACAGTTCCCCATGGTCCCAGGTATAGACATAGTCTGGGGCTTAGAGGAAAAAGTCTGGCTCTCCCCACAGCCAAGTCCTCCTGGGAGCTGCTCAGAGAAAGCTTATAGCTTGGCCAATTCCCAGGAAAACATGGCTTATAAAAACTCACTTTAGGACCCACTGTAGAGAGGTTGAGGCAGGGGGTTGGGGGTGGGGGTTGTCCTCAGGACTGACTCAGTCAACTGAGCTGGTCCCAGAGGCCTGACCATTTCAACCAGAATCCAAGTGTGTGGGGGGTGGGGGTGGGGGTGGGGGGTGCTGGACCTTCACGGGGCATCCCTGCCCTTATCACCTTGTTGGCCAGTAATTGGTTGCTTGTGCCCTTCCTCCTCTTAGTCACCTGGTGCCTTGTGCTGTGGTTCTGACATTGACCCAAGCATCCAGAGCCAAGGCTGAGGGTAGCCTTCCCCCTCTTATTCTGGAAAAGTGTGAGTAATTCCTGCCAAGTCTAGTGCAAAGAACTCAACAAAGACCAGAATCTATGGCCTCATATCCAGTTTCAACACCAATTAGTGGTCTCAGACAACTCTGGCCCTGTGTTCACATGCAGCTGGCCCTGTCTGCTTTGTAGGAATAACCCACAAGGGATAAAACAGCAGATAACAAAAATATCGAAAAATTAAAGTGGGATGCTTAATGTTCCTGCTTCCCATAATTCTGACATCTGCAGGTAAAAATCATGGACTCCTGTTCAGCATGTTCTTCACTAGGGTGAATATTTTTCTACCCTGACAAAGAAGCTGCCAAGTTGGGTCTCGTCTCCCTGCTGACCCCACTTGCAATGGCCTGGCAGGTCCCAGGGCCTCATCAGATGGGTGCAGAGCTTGCCTCAGTCCCTGTGTGTTCCCTCCTGTAGGTTGCCGGCAGACTGATCATCCATGCAGATGAGCTGTCCCAGATGTGGAAGGTGCTGAGTCTCCCGGCAGACCTGTTTAACAGTGTGATGAATGTGGGTCGCTTCACAGAGGAGATCGAGTGGCTGAAGTTTTTAGCCCTGGCTTGCAGTTCTCTTGGAGTTGTAAGTTACTTTAATGGCTTTGCGTTCCTTTAAGGAAAATGTCTCTCTGGACCCAGAAGGGCAGGAGTTGGGCATTTCGACATGGAGACACAGTCAGTGTCTAAGGCTGTGGATGGGAGATGCTTGGAATACCCAGGCTTCTAGTCTTTTTCTTTTCTCTGATTAGACTCATTCCTGTGCTCATCAACAGGAAGCAGGGACTGGGGGCGGGGTGGGTGGGGGGTGGGGGGGTGGTGGAAGAGAACTGAAGCAGGTTCTAGGGAGAGGCTGAGGAAATGTGGATTTTGGATTCTTTATGAATTTCAATCGTGGTAGATTCATTTCCATCAGCACTCCACTCCCTCCATTACACTCAGAGACACTGTAGAATAAGAGTTGCTGACACTGGGGTTTCAGATACCTAGGAAGAAGGTACACCAGTAGAGATGTTCACCAACAGAACTCCTTGTAGAAAATGCAATAACAAAGGAAGGAAGGGGACACAAAAGTCAGAGATAAGAGAGCAAGGAAGGAGGAATGAGGCTATTTCTAGACTTAGCGTCATGACATCACCATGGACACAGGATGCTCATAGCAATTCACTTTCCTGTTTTGAAGGAAAGGATGCTGAAACCCGTGTGTGTGCGTGCAGATATATATGTGTGCATGCACAGATACATATATCTACACAGACAGGTTATATATTTATATATACAATTTTAAATAAAGCTTGGGATGTCTTATGCATGAGCTCACTCTTATTAAACTCAGTTTTAATAACTTAAATGAAAATGAATCAGAAACATGTTTTCTAAAAAAATCCTTTGCATACATATGAGTTTAAAAAGTAATGAGAAAACCGTTGCCTTTACCCAAAGCAAATGATATGAAAAGGTGGTTTTAATCACTCAGCACTTCTAAGCACGACCTTGTTCTGTCTTCTCGAATATGCTTGAAGGACAGATTTGACATTTTTGTCTCTGGGAAAATTTACCAGAAATATTGTAGTCCAACTGTTCCTGTGGGTTTCCCTTGCAGCATGCTCATCGTCATTTCTGTAGAGAGGAGGGAAGGGGTCATTTGTGTGTTAGTTCATTTCCTTTCTGTTGTCCTGTATAGCGACCTGCTCTCCTGAAGGCGTTGCTCTTTTTCAAGGAGGAGCGGGCAATGCCGCAAGGACAGACGCGCAGTCCATCTGCACTGACTGCACTTCTGTGGGAATAGCCCAAGAGTTGGTGTGTTCATCCTCTTGTGGGTTAACCAACCGAGATGTATTTTCTCACAGGTCAGGAGGCTAGAAGTCCAGTTCTGGGTGTGGGCTTCCGGGAAGGCTCTCCCTAGGCCTGCCCCGGGGCCAGGGCTTGTCTTCAGCTTCTATTCCTCAGTTCCTTGATGAGCATGTGACATGTATCATCCTCGCTGTGATTGCTTCCTCAATCTCTTCTTTTTCCATCTCAAGGAGATTGGTTTAAGACACATCCTACATGGACACTGCCTCGTTAACAAAGAAAATCCCTTCCAAATGGGGAGTATAATTATAGATGTGAAGCCAAATTCACTACCATTGAGTTAAAAAAAAAAAAAAAGATTCAGCCCAACCCAAGAACTTCAGTCTGTTGCAATAATCAAAATGACCTCTAGGTATTGTATCATCTGTCAGATAGATTTCTTCTGCAACTCATACGCCTTCTCTCGTTTCCAAGATGGCAGTTGGGTTTATAGCCACAGGGTGACCCCAGGACCTCAGAGCAGTCTGGTGAAGGGTTCCACACATTTGTTGATGCTCTTGGGCATCTCTGGTCTCTGTGGTGATGCTTCTGTCTGAGCAGCCACGATCTGCTTGTAGCTTGAGTCTTGGGTCTAGAGTCTTTCAAGTACGTCATAAGCACAAGGCACCACCCTCCATCCCCACAGGTATCTCAGTGCTCCTTGGTGCTGAGGTCCCTGCCCTGGCTTAAATGGTCTAAGTCATGGCCTCTCACTGCCTTGGGAGATGTCTGAATCTTCCTCTTTTCCCTATACCTCACAGTAATCAAGAGGATTTAGGAAAGTCAAATTTCAACCTTCCGTCAGCTTAGCCCACTGTGCAGCTGCTAGGCTTCCTTTTGATACGGCTGCCTCCAAAACTGGCAAGAAGAAACCATGAGCTAAGCTGTATCTTTCTACTTTCCTCCTAAAACAAGGAGGTTGGATGAGATGTGCCAAGAGATGGTCCTACACCTCCAGTGTTCTGCCATGATTCTATTCCTGTTCTGTTTCCTCTGAGACACCCTCAGGCCTCGCTGTGGAAAACTGTAGACTTCTCAGGTTCTGGAGGTCCTGAGGTGTTTGCCTTTGTCTTAAAAAACCTTGTATCTAAGAATGCATAGACGTGAGGTCAGCCTGGGTCAAGTCCACAAATAAAGGATGCCTGGTAAACCTAGGAAGTAATCCCTTTATCCCCACTGTCTTATGTGGACTGTGGTTGGAAACATAAGTGTGGGGAAAGTCAAGTGTGATGTGTGATGATCTGGTGAAGGCTTTGCCTTCTGGTTAATTCGTGTATCTACTAGTAAGTCCAGCCAACCATGACCGCTGTGCCATCTAGAAAAAACCTCTTCCCTCTCGTATAGAAGAGCCTAATGCCAGGAAGTTTAGGTAGCAGGGAGAGGTACTTGAGTCTTGAGTTCTCTGGGAGTCTTAGTTATCTAATGCCACAAGTGGAGGGGTTTACCAAACAAACTCATTCTCTCAGTTAAGGAGGTAAGAAGTTCAAATCCAGGGAGCCAGTTCTAAGTTCAGGAAGGCTTTCTTCCCTGTCTGCTCTGCAGGAAAGTCCTTGTCTCCTTTCAACAGCCGTGAGTCTGGCATTCTTTGGAGATCTTTACGTGCCTTGGAATCAGGCTTTCCCTGGGTTTGTGAGGTTCTGAGCAGAGGGACCCTGGTCCGAATGATGCACCCTGCTCCTGGTAGCACTGAAGTCCCTTCCTCTCTGCCCTCTCCTCTCTCCTTTATATCTTGTGATAAAAGGTGACATGGGCCACACCCCAGAGACACCCCCCTTCCATCAGATCAGGGTTGTGATTTGATTAAGGTGTTACATTCCATCTTTACATCAGACCAGGGCTGATCACACGATGGGAGGCATCATTATATAAGGACCACATTATATTGTTATATAACTAACAGCCCCCTGAAAATCATGGATCAGCTGAGTTGACACAAATTTGCGGGGAGTGGGGTTGAGAGCACAATTCAATCTATGATACCGAATCTAATACTGAGGTGACTTCAAAAAAGTTTATGGAAAATTTCCATTATCTTCTAACTCCATTTTTCCCACGAACTTTTTGAAGCCTCCGTGTATTTGTGATTCTAACTGGGATGGCATGAAAACTTCTTCCCTTTCAGGACTCCTCCCCTAGACTGGCCTCAGCCATCTCCTTTTCCACAGAAACTTTATATAAAGTGAAGAGGTCTTGCAAGTAGTAAATACTCATGTCAGTCAGAAGAAATGGCTTTTATCTTGTTAGCAAATAATTTCTTTCCTGAGCCCTTTACCTCTGAGTTAAAAATGAAGCTCATGAGATACTGAAAGGCCATCTCTTTGAGGTGGGTCCCCATCTGACCAGAGAGCTTGTGCGAGAGAATGCAGGGGCACTTTAGATTTATATAAATTGACCAAAGAGCTCCAAAGAGTTCTTTATCCATCGACTCATTGAATTTTTAAAAAATCATAGGAAATCAACAGAATCTGAATATTTGTTATTTGAATGGTCAACCAAAGAGGGTGTTGGGGGTAGAAAGCAGCCCAATTTGGACAAGACTGGAGGCAGCGAGCAGCCAAACAAAGGCAGCAAGGAAGCAGTTGCTTAAGAAAAGTAGAGAGGATGAGCTGTGAGTGGAAATGATGCCGCTGAGAGCCCACATCAAACCTCCACTTCTACTGAACTCTCAACAGCTTTCAACTCTGCGGACCTCCAACCACAGTGGGCCTTTGGGTCTTCACAGCCAGCCTCTGGCCCAGTCTCCTGCATGCTATTCTCCCACGCCCTTGGTGGAAGAGGCTGCACAACGCCTCGTGCAATGCTTTACAGCACTGTCCAAGCGATGGCCCAAGGGGTGGGGGGAGCAAATACACAAGTGGCCTGCTGCAAGCCCCAAATGTTCTTGGCATCACATGGTTCATCCCATAAAAATCCATGTGCATGGAAGATTATCTTTCATAAAATAACACTGTGTGAATTAGCATGAAAATACTATTTCAAAATGCTTGCCATCGAGTGCAAATATCACGACAAGAAGATGGGCCGGGTTTACTCAGCGCACTTATCTACCTCCTGGCGTAGAGTGTTCCACCAGGTGTAACACTCAGCGCAGAGATGCACCACCTCGACATCCATTGCATTCAGGAAGAGGATGGGAACAGAACCAGCAAACATGCGCCACAGAGGGGGAGCCGGATGGCCAGGCAGTTGGCAAAACACAGCAGCTTGTTCACTCCCCCAGTCTCATCCAGCTCCCCACTCCAGACTGACTTTTCACGGAGCCTTCAAGGGTGTGTAAGACTCGTGCACATCCTCTGTTTTAGTCACCTCCATCGTGTACATGCAAACCTGTCTGCGGATTCAGAACCAAACCATATTTCGCTCGCTTCGTTTCTTTCCTTGATCTAATCATGACACAACCTTCCCCGTATGAAATGTATCCACAGGGCAGCCTTGTTGAAAGATGCCGCTGCATAAAACTGTCAGTTCTGAGCATGATCCTTAAGGTTCACGTTTCCTTGAAAGGAATGGTTTGCATCTGTTACATCAACCCTTCCACCCCCCATTCAACGTCTGGCAGTAGTCATCTGCTCACCCCTGCCCAGCGTCCTCCAGCACAAACAAGGCTAGTTTTACACACCACAACATACCAACCCAAATCCCTTTCCCTCAGGTCAACTCCAGCTCATGGTAACCCCATGCCTGTCAAAGTAGAACTGGGTTTTATGGGGTTTTCAATGACTGCGTTATGGGAAGTAGGTCACGGGGAATTTCTTCTGCAGTGCCTCTGGTTGTATTTGAACCACCAACATTTCAGTTAGTAGCCTAGTGCATTAACCATTTGCTCCACCCAAGCATTCCCTAGAACAGTGGTTCTCAACTGTGGGTCGTGACCTTTCGGGGGTCGAACAACCCTTTCACAGGGGTCGCCCGATTCATAACAGTAGCAAAATGACAGTTATGAAGTAGCAATGAAAATAATTTTATAGTTGGAGGGTCACCACAACATGAGGAAGTGTATTAAAGGGTCATGGTATTAGGAAAGTTGAGAACCACTGCCCTAGAAAGTACTTCATGGTTCTAGAATAAGGGTGGGGAGCTTTGTTTCTGCCAAGGGCCAATTGGCTATTTACAACATCATTCGAGGGCTACCCTGCTCAACTATCTCATTACCTGGCCCCTAATGTGATGTCTGGGAGCCCCGGTGGCATAGTGGTCGTGAGGTGGGCTGCTGACTTCAAGGTCCGCGGTTTGAAATCACCAGCAGCTCCACGAGAGCCAGCTGAGGCTTCCTACTGCCACAAAGGCTGCCGTCTCGGAGCCCACGGGGCAGTTCCACCCTGTGCTCGGGTCGCTGTGAGATGGGATCCACTCAAAGGCATACGTTTCTGGTTTAATGTGATGGTTGGAGCTGCTTCTTTGGCGGCGCATGTGAGGTTGCCTGTTATTGACGGCTTCTCGGGCCTTATGCCGACCACCGCTGGACGATCCCCACTTCTATTTTAGAAAAATGAGTTTTGTCTTGATGACAGGTGCCATTTTTTCCTGCATCTGGGGCACCCATCTTCCTGGGGACATGACCCTTCTTCCACCTCCTCCTCCCCATGACGGCATTGCTTCAAGTCTCTGACTGGAATAGATAGGCTAAACTTTAACCTTTACGCCAACCCTTTAGAAAGAAGGCTGGAGAACAAGAATAAGGGGAGGGGAGATCAAATTTGGAAGCGTGTAAAAGTAAATCTCCTCCGCCAGTGAGGTGATTCTGATTCAAGGGACACGTGTCTCCACATAGCCAGCAGTTTATAAACTTAATTCTCTGAGAATATACCTCTAACAAAGGAAGGATGGAGGGAAAGATAACCACGTAGGTATTCAATAAACCAGATGCCAGCCAGCCAAATATGTTTCCTGGTGACCCCGCACAGGTCAGGATAGAACTGTGGCCCATATGATTTTCAATGACCGAGTTCTCCTAAGTAAGCCACTGGTTTGTCACGCTGTGGTGGCTGCCATGTTGCTGTGGAGCTGGGTGCTGTGCCACGGGTATTTTACATACTAGCAAGTTCACCCGTGGTAGATGAGCTTTAAGCAAGTTTCCAGATCAAGACGGGGTGAATCTGCTCCGCAAGACCTTTTGAAAGGGTTGAAAGACAAAGACGTTGCTTCGAGGACTAAGGGTGTGTCTTATCCAAGCCGTGATATTTCAATCAGATTCTTGTGAGTGCTGGACATTGAATACGGGAGACTGGAGAAGAATCAATGCATTGAATTAGGTTGCTGGCAAAGAATGCTGACAGAACTCTGAGCTGCCGAAAGAACAAACAAATCTGTTTTAGAAGATGTACAGTCAAGGGGCAGTAGAAAAGAGGAAGAGCCTCACGGAGATGGATCGACACAGTGGCTGCACCAATGGGCTCAATCACAGCACCCAATGAGGGAACGGCCCAGGAGCGGGCAGTGTTTCGTTCTGTTGAACACAGGGTGGGACCTGACTGGATGGCACTCGATAGATCAGGAAGGCAGGCTTGACAATCTGCTTCTAACAAGGAACCCGTGGAAATCTTGGGAATCACAGCAGCATCGTGTCCTGTTGTTCACTTGCTTTGGACACATCACCGGGTGGGAGCGATCGCTAGAGGAGGCCGTTGTATTGGGTGACCTAGCAGGTCAACATGTGGGAGACTCCCAGTGTGGTGGCCTTGAACGTGCTTGTGATCCGAGGAGGACTCAGAGCCAGGCAACAGATACCGGAGATTGCCGAGGGGGCTGACGGACTTGACAGGAAGCAGCTCCCTCGAACGCAGGTACTCGCCATTTCTGGATGGAATTAAATGACATTTGGGTACAAAGGTCCTAAGCCTTCCAGAGTACTGCCTCACTCCCACTTCACGTTATGAGAGTCGATTATTTTTTTATTTTTATTTTTTTAATTTAAAATTTTTTTCTTTTCTTTTTATATCTGAACTGGTCTCCCTGTGTATCGCTAGCCTGGAATACCGACTTTCCCCTCCCCTTACCTTGTGACTTTCTAGACCATTGCCAAGACTCTCAAGATAGTGTGTGAAGTTCTATCATCTGACCATGACGGTGGACCTCCCAGGATCCCTTTTAGCACATTCCAGTTTCTCTACACGTACATCGCGGAAGTGGATGGGGAGATCTCGGCGTCGCATGTCAGCCGGATGCTCAACTACATTGAACAGGAAGTGTAAGTACACCTTTACCAGCTGGGGTGCAGGAAGGGAGAGGAAACCAATCTTGCAGGGCCCCGACTCTTGCGGGTGACAGAGCACTACACCACACTGCTTGGGGAACAGGAACAGTGGGAGGAACCATGGGTAAGGATCAAAGGGAGGTAAGGAATGACAAGGGGAAAAGTCGTATAGCACAGCAACTCAGCATGAGCCTCCCTCGGTGTATTAGTCTAGGTACTTTGGAGAAACAAATTCACAGCGACTCATGTATAAGAGAGAGTTTTATGCAAAGAAAAGGTGCATCACGAAAACATCCCAACC